TGTACTTCCAGGGCCCAAGAGGTCATACTCGAACTTTTTGTAGAAAAGGTCTCTTTTAAAAAGAAATATCTGGCGCTTGAGCAACGACCAAAGACAAGGAAACATGTTCATTAACAATTTTATATACAAAAAAGTCTACTGCACAAGTTTTAATTTTTTTTTTGCTCAAGAAGTTTGGCGCAACCTACGAGTATATTCAAGTCATTCTCATATTTCTTGATTACTGGGCCGGGTAAAACTGTACTTCCAGGGCCCAAGAGGTAATACTCGAACTTTTTGTAGAAAAGGTCTCTTTTAAAAAGAAATATCTGGCGCTTGAGCAACGACCATAGACAAGGAAACATGTTCATTAACAATTTTATATACAAAAAAGTCTACTGCACAAGTTTTAATTTTTTTTTTGCTCAAGAAGTTTGGCGCGACCTACGAGTATATTCTAGTCATTCTCATATTTCTTGATTACTGGGCCGGGTAAAACTGTACTTCCAGGGCCCAAGAGGTAATACTCAAACTTTTTGTAGAAAAGGTCTCTTTTAAAAAGAAAAATCTGGCGCTTCAGCAACGACCATAGACAAGGAAACATGTTCATTAACAATTTTATATACAAAAAAGTCTACTGCACAAGTTTTAATTTTTTTTTTTGCTCAAGAAGTTTGGCGCAACCTACGAGTATATTTAAGTCATTCTCATATTTCTTGATTACTGGGCCGGGTAAAACTGTACTTCCAGGGCCCAAGAGGTAATACTCGAACTTTTTGTAGAAAAGGTCTCTTTTAAAAAAAAAAACTGGCGCTTCGCCGCCGCGCCGGCCGGCCGCTGCCACATGTTATGGTCACAATACTAACCTAACCTAACCTAGTTAGAAGTATCACCATTTGAGCCCTGGAAGTACAGTTTAGCCCTGGGCCGATTATTGATATATACCCAAGTATTTGATATATACTCTTGATTAAATGGTATTTTTCTCAGTTAACAAATACTTATATAAACAGAGCTTAGTTTCGATTATAAGATAGACCACGTAGCAAAAACTGTTTAAAAATGACACCTTTCATGGCTAACCTTTTCTAAGGGCGCATGGCTCCGGGCAGGGACAGTTGAGTTGAACTCTGTTCCCGTAGCATGAGCACCACAATTTCAACATCAAGTTTTTTATCGCGTCTTACTGTCAAACTCCTTAGTAATTTGACAGCTGAGCGTGATAAAAGCGCGTTATATATCATATCGCGGTGCTCATGCTGGTGGGGCACAGGTTTGAACTGGCATTATGATAGGGATGACGACTATGTTTTTTTAAATTATGACTATAATTGCTATTTTATCATTCAAATGTTTAATACTTGTAAAAGTATACATTGGACATTGTGGGTTACATACAATGCGAAGAAATGGCGCTGCCTTGCAGCTTAAGAATGGCTAGAGGAATTTCGACGCGGCCGTCAGGGCCGCGGTAGCATAATTGGTCAGTGCATTCGCCCAGATAGCGAAGGGTGCGGGTTCGAGTCCCGACTGCAGCCTGGACCGGGTGGAATTTTTTCTAGTTATATTTTCTTTAGATTTAAACATCAAGCAGTTACATGCTTAAAAAATAAACATTATAAGTAAATATTATGTTAGAGACATCCCTAGTAATGCATATTTAATGTGATAAATGTTGAATATGAAATGATGATTAAAATTACAAAAAAAAACTAAAGTAACTTATTTTGTAATCAAGCAAGAAACACAATGCTAACAATTTGCTTTTATTAAAAAATAAATTGCGATTACGTTTCTTTTTTATAAAATGAATCTAGTCTGGAAGAAGATGTATCAGAATACTTCTTATCATTTATTTAGTTTTTGTCCATGGTTTTCTCAAAATTGATTAAGCTCTATAAAATTTTACTAATTATAATGAACATGAAATGCACTTTCTGTAGATATAACTTTGATAGTAAGTTTTAAACTTTTAGAGAAAATGAAATCAGCATTCCGAGATAGCAAGTGACCCGGTTTATTTGCTGTCTTGTGTATCTTATACCGAAAACATTGTATCAGACGGTTAAAAATGTTAGTTGCATTTAAGAGCCCTTTCACATTTTTCGCTAAAACTTCATAATTTTTGAGCGCCTCGTTTACCCCCTTAGAAACAGATTTTGACTATTTCCAATAGAAGTTAACAATAGATTTATTCTTCCTATTGTAAGTTAATGTAGAATATTTGCAAATACTATTTTCCTTTTTTTGTACTGATCGTTCTACAGCAGCTAGTTTACTTCAAACGCCTAATTCTCCAAATAATGTTCAATAAATTAGATAAAATTAATTACTACGACATAAGAAATATGTTTATGTTGTAACATAATATATTAGAATTTTGATTTGCATCTCATTAATTATCAAAAAAAAAACATCTAACCTCCGTGAGTTTTCCCAACAAGCAATGCAGGTTTACCTCGTATTTTGATAACGAATTAAATAGAATTACTATCAAAAACTTTCATAAAACTAATCTACCATCACTGAACTACTGAAATATGTATATATTTATATAATTAGTTCATTAATAATTATTTTATAAGACTCGAAACAACACCCGTAAAATACAATATATACTAGTGCAAATCTACCTACGCGCCGATCAGTACGGCAGCGGCGCAATTTTGTAAAAGGGCTCATAAGTACTTATTTTCTCATAGAGATCCACACAAAAAGTAGAATGTCCACCTCGGGAGTAACACTATTTTACAGCGCGAGCGGCGTAATTTGATCTTCGCTCCGCTCTAGATTAAAAAACAGTTTCGTCTTTAAATTAGTTCTTTGCTCCCTTAGTAAACAATCTACTAATATTACTTACCGACAAATTGATATTGTAGATATAATAATGTGTTTTCAACGCTAACCAGATCGACTGACATAGGGTCTTATTTGACAACGCACTATTACAACACAATCTCTTATTACACTACGCTGAGTCTGATTATATCATGCTGAATATAGTGAACTTTTTTAATACAGTCGTTATAGAAAGGCACTATAAATGGTTCATAATAAAATGTTGAAGCATATCTAGTTCTCAGTTAATATGTTGCGTATCCGACTGAAATTCATGCGTTCCCGACCGTTCCACAAAATTCTTCTATGCCTTTCCTTTACATACCAATAAATTATTCATTTGATTATTAAATTAATTCCCAACGGTAACACTGAATTTCAGTGAAATTCAGTGTGACGGTGGGTAAGCTTCGATTACTATTCATTACATCAGTGTGATGGTCGGAAAAAAAATATCCCCACGATCATACTGGTGTGTCGGTTTAGTGTGTTGGTCGGGAACGCATGGTTAATTCCATGTAAGCCTGCCCAGTAAGAAACCATGGGACAGCCGATATGTCCATTTCACAGAGAACGATTTTTTTTTCACTCACTTCGCAGTCCGATCTCTCTGCTTCGTTTGCAGGGTATTTTTTTTATTGATTTTCTAAGTACACACATTGTTTATACATGAAAATATCTGCCAAACTATTATAATAGTTTGTCGGCAGAGTTCCCGTGGATAACGATTAGTTACAAATTACTTACAAAACAAAAATACATAATATTTATATATTATTTATATAAGACTCCTGTGATATTCTCATAAAACTAGTTTTTACTATTTGTTACTCAATCACGCAAAAATGGCTGAACGGATTTAGATAAAAACCGGCACTCATATAGTTTATGATCTATGATCAGCAGTGCATCTCTTATCTATTAGACAAGTCCGTCCGTCCGTCCGCCTGTGGTGCTGTTTCAGCGGCCAAACCGTAAGAGATAGATAAAGAGAATGTTTAAGTTATAAGTTAAGAATAGTGTGATAAGACTACAAACCGGATTTGAGTAACGTAGCACTTCCGGTTTTCGAGAAATCACGAATTTCAAACGAAACCACACAAAATCTCCGAAGTTCTCAATTAATTAAATACATTTTTTTTAAATCAGGTTTTGGTGAACATTTGGTTTACTGATTTGCTAGTTAATAATTAATACATCAATAGGCTGATGAAGATCATGATTTTCCTTTCATAGAATGAGTGTAGTGATTTGAATAGTAAGATTTTTATGTCTAATCTCTTTCGTATCGAGTTCCTGACGCTTAATATTGGCTGTTGCCGATGGATGTGTTGAGTCGGTGGTCATATGGACCGGGACCGCGGTCCCGAAATCCCCCAATGTTTATTTGATTATTTTTGAGGCGGCATTTGGGACCGAAGCTGGTGATCCCGAATGACACCTCTGTTTAATAATTATTTTGAGTGGTAAATTGGTAAATGTACAACTGACTGAACTAAGTTCTTTATTAATTAAACTTATAATTTGCGTTTACCATTGGAGTACCTACTCTTGATCTTGATTAATGGCATTAAGTTTACTTGTTTAAAAACCTTTTTCTTGGTTAACAAATATAGAAACCGAGCTTCGTTAGCCTGAAAACTCAGCTAACGGCTATTATTTAAAAAAAATGTACAGTACCTATACCTGCAGTAACGGCTTAGTTATATACTAGCAAACCCGTGAACCAAATGTTCACCAAAACCTGATTAAAAAAAAATGTATTTAATTAATTGAGAACTTCGGAGATTTTGTGTGGTTTCGTTTGAAATTCGTGATTTCTCGAAAACCGGAAGTGCTACGTTACTCAAATCCGGTTTGTAGTCTTATCAGACTATTCTTAAATTATAACTTAAATATTCTCTTTATCTATCTCTTACGGTTTGGCCGCTGAAACAGCACCACGGACAGACGGACTCGTCTAATAGATAAGAGATGATTTATGTTATACATTTGTTTCGGATAATACGCGATTGAGAAGATTTCAAAATATTTGCCTTGTTTTTATAATTGACAACATTGATTTCTATTAAAAAAAAAAATTTAGTAAAAAACACCGAAGCGCGCTTTACATTTCAGCCGTCTTGCTGTAAATTAAACCTTTTAAAGGATTTTCGTTGAATTTGCGTTTACCATTGCCTCAGGTCTGGTGCCGTCGGGTCAATGTCCGCGGGGAGGGTTCACCCTGGCGCAGTCGGTGGCCAACAGGATACACGAGCATGAGCAGACTGTGCTGCCTCCGTTGCAGCACCCGATCAGAGACGTGAGTGTTACCGATTATTAAAATTATCTTTAGGCAGCATTCGTTTCTGAAGTGAAACTTCGTTACGCACGCTTGACTTGGGGGATAAACTGGCGAATGCGTTACGCGTTACGAAAAGTGTGTTCGGGCGAGGCGAACGGGAGTTGAGTGGGGGATACTCGTATAAGCAAGAGAAATAAATAAATAAATAAATATTTCCGACACTCACACCAATTAGCCTAGCCCCAAAGTAAGCACTACAAGGCTTGTGTTATGGGATGCTAGGGTAACGGATAGAATACATATAGTGTACATATATAAGTATATTTATATAAATACATATTAAACATCCATGACTGGAGTACAAATGCTCGTATTCATCACACAAACATCTGCGCCCCCCCCGGGATTCGAACCCGGGACCTCTCGAGTCGGCGACAGCCATGAAACCCGGCCTACAAACCACTCGGCCACGGAGGTCGTCAAAAGAGAAAACGGTGCGCGCACATTTTCATTCTCTTTTTATTATTTTATTTATAAAGGTACATTAAACAGCCAAAGGCCAGCAAAAATGTACACAGCTGAATAACATAAGTACCTAAACCTTAGTTAACAAAAAGGTAACATAAAAATAAAGAGCAAAACATTGATGAAATAGCCTTCAATCCTAAGTGATGAAACAAAGCGGGCGAAAGGAATGAAAACTTGATATTACCAGAGCAAAATCACAGTAGTTTTCCACTTATAGCTAGTGAATGAATGAAAATATGTATATGCACATAAATGTATATTTTCTACAAACATATATACATACAGATGGAGCTAAAGAAGTTTCACTTCAGTCGTGTGGTCAAAAGCATACTCGTTTTTTTTTGAATACGAGGCGCAACAAATTGATCCGGCCGTTACGTAACCATTCCGCCGACGCCCCCGGCTGGGACGCACTCATAGTGCAGTCTTTGACTGTGGGTGCATCCCGGGCGACTCCAACAAATTACCCCATCCCACCTGATGGTAAGTGTAAATGGATTCCAGTCGCGAAGATAGATGATGCGGCAGAAAGTGTGCCGCTTCAGCCATCCTCACGTTGCCGGCCGGAACCCAATCCTTTTCCCCGCGGAATCCTGGATCCCTACTCACCTTTAGAAACACAACACCAGCAAAATATAGTGTGATTTTATTGTGGTCTCCTGTAATGTGGAGATTGCTTCCCCAGACAAGCGCTCCAATTCAAGCAGATAATCCGCTATATCCTGCCTTCCTTTTATTATTCAAAACTATTAATTAAACATTATTTTTAGCAGAAAAGCGACATCGTATCTTAAAACAAATAAAACTTAAAAATCATGAGTGTAGTCGTTAAAAAAAATAAAATGTACTATTGCTAACCCGTGAAGTTATTTGAGTGAGATTGGCTATGCAATTTTAGAAAAATGTCAAAAACAAGCAAGATGTTAAAAATGACTTTTTCAGTTCATTGTGTGTTTTTCAGCTATGTAGGAAGCTTGTATTATATCTTAATATTTTCCAACAGGGTTCCCTGTGTGGTCGCAGTACGTATTCACCACTGCAAGCCCTCAGTGAGAGCACCTGCAGGGACCATGGCGCGCAGTCCGCGCCGCCGCCCCTTCAACCGCCGAGAGTGCAGGTTCGTTCTAAAAACGTTGAGAGAGGCAGGCCATAGCAGATTTCCTACTCGAATGAGTGTTTTATGGAATGACTGGCGTTTGAGACGAAAGGTTTACTCATCCGTCAAATCAATCTATTAATTACTTTATTAGTGATACATGGGTTTAAAGTTACATGGCTGTTAAACTGTGCAGCCGTGATCAGCCCCGCTTAGCATACAAATATAATTTCCGCAGAACAATTCAACATGATGTCCATTTTTTTTTAACACGAATACCCTCTAAGCTGCCCATTACCAAATCGCATATATCATTTTTTTTGAGTGTGTATGCTGTTGGTCGCTGATGACCTTTACAGTGTCACCGGGTTTGGGGACGGCGAGACCCTAAGGGGACCTCAAGCTGAGAATTGGTGAGTGCCTCTAGAGGTCCTCACCTCTCCGTCTGGAGCCTCTAGACCACTCTGATGGGGTCGGTTCAACTAGTGGGTGTCTCTGAGACTCAGACCTTGGCTCTAGTTAGCCGTTGTCTTGGGTAAATGTTATCATAGTATATAGTTCGCGCCAAAAACTTCATACAAAAGACCTGACGTCACAGGGGCGTCAACTAGCGTCGTGAATTTTCGTAAACACTCATTAGAGCGCCGGTCTGGGGCAGTAACCTCCACCTTACAGAAGATCACAGTGAAATAACATTGCTTAATGGTGGTGTTGTGTTTCTGTCGGTGAGTAAAGCTATAAGTGTCGCCGCACACGGACCACACGCCACAGCCACAAACGCCGCCACTAGAAGCTAGAAGCGGCTACTAAAGTGGCTGAAGCGCGCGACAGCGGCTGACTAAGGTAAGGGAGAGAGGGGTGGGGAATCGCGCGAGTGACGTGTGGCAGCGTTTTGTATCGACGCATTAAGTAGGGATGTCGAAAGTTGAAAAAATATCGATATATCGATACATCGATATTTTAAAAAATATCAATATCGGCTTCGATATATCGCGAAAAAAACATCGATATATCGATATATCGGACCAATTTTCGGGAATGGCGCGACTGTGGTGAGGCGGCATTAAGTGGTCGGTGCGGGCCACAAGAAGCGAGCAATGACGATTTGTAGCGTGTGGCGGCCACCGGCGGGCGTGCCGTGTGTGGCGAGTCCATGTAAAATGTATGAAAACTACAAGAAATATGCTCCACGGGGTAGGGAATGAGGTTAGAGTTGGTAACGCTGCGAGTGATATCCTAGAATTAATATATCAATTGACATTGTGGATTACCTACAATGCGAAGAGATGGCGCTGCCTTGCAGCTTAAAGCTAGGAAAAATTTCGACGCGGCTAATAGGGCCGTGGTAGCATAATGGTCAGTGCATTCGCCCGGATAGCGAAGGATGCGGGTTCGAGTCCCGTCCGCTGCCTGGTCCGCGTGGATTTTTTCTACTAAACTTTTCTTTAGATTTAAACATCTAGCAGTTAAATGCTTAAAAAATAAATAAAATCATTAAGATATCAAATCAAAATATAGGTCCAGGGGGCCAATCGCCTAACGGCATTGCTATGGCTATCGCCTACGATTTCATTTTCTATTTCTGACCGCCGAAGGTTTTCAAATGCTCCGCTCTCTTATTTTTATTTTGTATTGGTAACAAACAATATTAAAGAAAATGAGCTTAAAGTATTTTAAAACTTTCGGCGGTCAGAAATAACAAAATGAAAACTTAATCGATAGGGATAGCCATAGAAATTCCGTTAGGCGATTGACCCCCAGTTAAGAATGTCTTTATAATGTATCTTAGTTTTCTAAGAATCCCTCAGGAACCCAACAATTTTTTCGGGATCTTTTATAGTTAAAAATGTTGTATTACAATCAACAGTCAACAACAATAAAGTTAGAAGGTAATAACTTACACGAATACGGTGCGGATTAAGGTCCACTCGCATCAATGTTGCTAAATCTCAACAAAAACTAAATTTAGCCTATATAATGATGTCTAATGCACATTGAAATTTTGTCATTTTTCTACGGGATATATCTAGTTTTCATTGAGTTTTAGCAAATTTGCAGCAAGTGGAGTTAAATTTTCCATTTCTCTAAATCATTTCTTTCATTTATTGTGTTAACAATGTTATTTTTGCTGTGCCACCTAATACTTAACTCAATCAGGTTCTAAGCATATCATATTTCCATTATATAATATAAACTTGCGCAGTTTTTTTTCTCATAGGCAGTAGGTGTAAGTTTGTTTTTAAAAATTACATACAAACGTTGACTTATGTAGTACGAATTCCACACAATAAGAACAAGGTCATTAAATCTAAGCCCTATCAACAGTTTTCTACATGTAACTTACTTATGCTATGAAGATGTACTTTCCAATTCAAGTCCTAACATCTAAGCCAAAACTATCTATGTTTTCCAATGCAAATGTCATACAAAACCATCAGGGCAGTAAATCTAAGCCTCATCGACAGTTCTCCCTGCGGGTTTCCTCACAGAACATGACACTCCTTAAATTTTCTGATAATAAACCTACTAATGCCATGAAGATCTACTTTCCGATTCAAGTTCTACACAAAACTATATAGGATTCTAGGATTTCTATTCAAGTCTGCTACAAAACCATCTAGGGCAGTAAATCTAAGCCTCATCGACAGTTCTCCCTGCGGGTTTCCTCACAGAACATGACACTCCTTAAATTTTCTGATAATAAACCTACTAATGCCATGAAGATCTACTTTCCGATTCAAGTTCTACACAAAACTATATAGGATTCTAGGGTTTCTATTCAAGTCTCCTACAAAACCATCTAGGGCAGTAAATCTAAGCCTCATCGACAGTTCTCCCTGCAGGTCTCCTCACAGAACGTGACCCTCCACTCTGCTGTAGCGCGCTGCACAGCCACCTTAGAACTGGCTGCGCTGTGGAGGAACTTCCACGAGCTTGGCACGGAAATGATAGTGACAAAAGCGGGGAGACGCATGTTCCCAGCCCTCCAAGCGAGGCTGGCTGGCCTGCAACCGAATGCCGACTATTTACTCCTGGTGGACTTCGTGCCGTTGGACGACAAGCGGTACCGATACGCTTTTCATAGGTATGTCGATATTTTATTTTTATTTTTAAGTGACACTTTAGCATGGCATTATATGATAGATATGCTGGTCGCTGCACTAAACAAGCACACATTGACTGTTAAGCACAATCTGGTATAAGAGTCATGCACACATTGAGCGAAACATGAGCCGTTTTTTTTATTTATTTCTAATCTTTACTGACTATCAAATATAACAATGGTGCTAAAGGCAGACTTTTTATGCGTGATTGTAAAAATAACCAAACGTTTGTAACAAAATACTTCCATTCAAATAGTTATTTTACACGATAGTATACGAGTACATGAAACAGTGATGCGTTTGGAAAAGTTTTTTTTTCTAAATAGCAACGCACGGCTTGTGCATTTAGCCAGTGTCAAGTGTTAAAATGTTTACAAATACTATAACATTCGTGGTCAAAGTAATAAATAAAGTCAAAGTAAGTGGCAGTCAAGTCAATCCACCTTTCCCTATGTTTTAATAAAAGTGTGGGGATTTACTGGAACCTCCCCGTGGACTTCTTGAGGGAACGTCGAAAGACACTTTCCGCTATTTCGTTTCACTTGCCAACACTTGTGCATGTTTCCGAACACTGAGTGGTTAATAATCCACCATTATTAGACACTAATATCCGCCACAACAAAATTATTAACAAGAAAAACAAAACTGTTAAAGTGACGCTTCCCGATCCCGCCAAAAAGTCCTTGGAAAAAGTTCTAGCTCAATTTCCATTCCATTTGACATTTAGTTCGAGCTGGGTGGTGGCCGGCAAAGCGGACCCGGTGTCGCCGCCGCGCATCCACGTGCACCCGGACTCGCCGGCGCCGGGCTCCCACTGGATGCGGCAACTCGTCTCCTTCGACAAACTGAAGCTCACAAACAACCAGCTAGATGACAACGGACATGTAAGTATTAAGCAGGCAGTCAAACGTTGAAAAGGAACGTTAGAACTACTTACTAGTAGCGGTTTTCCCGCTCGGATTGAAGGTGTAGCGACAAAATAAATAAGTAAAAAAAAAGGGAAGGAGAAAGAAGAACAGAAATAAAGATTACAAAAAAAAAATGATGTGGTGTCGTGGGACACCAGGTAGGAACGAAGTTCCTTCGGCTAATGTAGAATCGACACAAATTGCAAACTCGCTTGTGTATGCGACTGTCGCGCCTGCGCACGTCTCATTTAACGGTTTTATTCCACGCACTTTTTTCCACGGATTTTTTCTTACGGTTTTACTATCAAATTTTTTCAGTTCGGTCGCGCAGCAAAATCCCTATCCCCTCCAAGCCTGCCGTAAGGAACTTCGTTCCAATATATATATTTACAAAGTAAAAAAAAAGAAAGGGAGAAAAGGAGGAGTGTGGGTGTGTGAAGTGTGTGCAGTATTTAGTGGTATAGTGGGCGTGGGTCGTCGGTGATCTTCACAGTGGAGGCTTGAGGTTGAGGGTCGTAGATAGTCGAGCGGCGCTCCTGATAGGCGGCAGCGCTCCTTGTCGGGCGGCTCTCTGGGTTCCCGGCCGGAGTAGGCCCTGCTGGCAGGTCGGCCGGTGCCGAGGTAGGACGGCTGGAGCTGCTGGTGGATGGTAGGCGCTCCTAATCGGCGGACTGCTGGTGCCAGACCATGCAGTTGGAGACCGGGCGGCGATACCGCCAATGAGGTAGAACTAGAACTTACAGTGTTTTTGGTAGAGAAGTAAGGCGTTTAGAGAGCCAAAGGATGCCGTACGGCTTTGAGGTCTTTGCTACGAAGGGTAGATACATGAAAAGCATCAAAGGTTCTGTAGATAAAAAATGTAAAAATGTCAAGGGAACGCAAGGACAATTAAACACTATTAACGCTTCTTTTTAAATGGGTTTATACCCGCTCTTTATGATTTTGATCGACTGACATTATTACATTTTTTACGTACAGAACCTTTGATGCTTTCCGTTTCCTTTTCTTTCGTTATACTTGATTATATTAAAATATCTCTATTATAGTTTTTTCTGAATTCATTGCACCCAGATAATCCTGAACTCGATGCACCGGTATCAGCCGCGTTTGCATGTGGTGTATCTCCCGGGCGAGGGGCAGGCGGCGGCGCCCGGCGTCGTGCCGTACAGGACCTTCGTCTTCCCAGAGACGGGATTCACGGCAGTCACCGCCTACCAGAACCATAGGGTAAGATCTACTCTAAGTGTAGGCGCACACTAGGCGACACGCGACAGCGACAGCTCGGCGACTAGACGTGACGACAGGCTGCGGCCGACAATTTCATATATGAGGAGCTGGCGAACAAAACGGTATATTTACGTATATGATTTTGATCATATAATACTTTATTTTTACAGCCCCGAGGTTTTGGGCCAGTTGAATTTGAATTTCAACCCAAGTAAATCAAAACCGCTTAAAATAGTGTTAAAATTACTAAATTAAAAATCACGAAAAAAGCTCACTGTAGGTATGCCATTCAGTTTTTTGCTGCTCCTGTAAAATTTAATTTGATGTAATTATACCGTTTTGTTCGCTAGCTCCTCATATGTTCGCTCTGCGTCAATGTCGCCGTGAGCGCTGAGGAAGGTGCATGTGTTTATTTTATTGATATAGTTAAGCACCAAGGCAAGTGCAACTAGAGGCTTCATATTTACTCACAAGATGAACAACACTGCCGTCTCTCTCAAATACTCCACTACTAATGATCGCTTCCTGCACGATATCTGTCGTTACGACTAGTCGCCGACGCTAGCGACAGCTCCGCGTCTAGTCAAATGCAAACGACAACGCCGCGACAAGACGCGACGACAAGACGCGACGACAAGTCGCCTAGTTTGCGATGTCTCTAAAACCTCACTTGACATTGCATAAATAGGCTGATGATGATGATACAATTAGACTGTAAGTAAGTTCCGTAAAAATCAGACAATATTCCTGCACCGGTAGGCACCCTGAGCACCGATATCCCCCGGATGGGTGTCGAGAAAGGACGCGGCACCCAACAAGAATTAGTTAATTTTAAAGTTTCACAGCTACAAATCAGTAGAATTTTGGCCGGTCTTTGTCGGACAAGTTTATACACATTTTATTGCTGAAAAATCCTTCATTCGGACTTACAAAGGACTAACTTAAGACTCACCACGAGTCATTACCCGAACTTTTAATACAGAGATTGCGTGAAAGATTTTTTTTTTCTATGTCTTTCAGATAACACAACTGAAGATAGCGAGCAATCCATTCGCTAAAGGATTTAGGGACTGCGATCCAGACGACTGGTAAGTTTAGAATTTCACTCCTATTAAGTAAACGTATGGAAGTTATTTCAAACGAAATTATGGTTAACTAACCTAACGTACATATGGTATACACCCCGGCAAACTCCTTGAGCGACGACCACCGTCAAGGAGGCCTGCGCAGTAGCAAATTTACATACAAAAACAAATTATAAGTTCATTGGTATTACATTTTTTTGTTTTTTTTTTAAAGCTAGGTAGGCAACTGACTCTACCCCACCTGATGTTAAGTGGTGATAAAGTTCAAATGCGACGATAGCTGGTACAGCAGTTATAAACTGCTACACCCGCAATCCTCACCTTGCCGGCCTTTTTTTTCTGATTTTGTCTGGAAAATGCCTTACGCATCCTTCAACTACTGGGGGAGCGAGAAGAAGGTATGTGGGACTCCTCCATGTCCACTTCAGCCAGCCCTGAGGCCAAATGAAGTGTACAGGGCCCTACCTACGCCCTGAACAGGGCCACTAATATCCCTGCACCGTGTCACCCGACCCGCATTGCTAGGACCGTAATCCCAGTATTGCGGGTCCTTGCCGGCCTGCAAAAATGCTTCTTCACGTCTCTCTTAAAGGACCCCCGATTGTAGGAATGAGGGAATACATGCGTGTTAAGGAAAAAATGGTTCTTTTTCAATAGTAACAAGACTACGCTTAGAATTAAAATAAATACCTACAAGCTCTGAATACAATCAAAACCTACAAGTACCGACTTGCTCTAATGTTAAAACTATAACGAGCATGTACATAAGTATATTTCGTACTTCAAATGAGAGGGATAAGGTTAGTTTAACAATCAATGGAATTGTAATAAATCTTCCGTTTCTTCGTATACAGAAGACTAAATTTTATAAAATTCAAATTAGCATAAAAGCTAATGTGTCGTTGATTGTACATATTCATCGATTTCCTTACATTGTCAGTGTTGCTAGTATCGGTTAAGCGCCTGATACCTGTTTTCCATCTATGGAATCTATGCTATCTATGTAAGTGTAATAAATCTTCAGTTTCTTTGTATACAGAAGACTACATTTTATAAAATTCAAATTAGCATAAAGGCTAATGTGTCGTTGATTGTACATATTCATCGATTTCCTTACATTGTCAGTGTTGATAGTATCGGTTAAGCGCCTGATACCTGTTTTCCATCTATGGAATCTATGCTATCTATGTAAGTGTAATAAATCTTCAGTTTCTTTGTATACAGAAGACTACATTTTATTAAATTCAAATTAGCATAAAAGCTAATGTGTCGTTGATTGTACATATTCATCGATTTCCTTACATTGTCAGTGTTCATATAATCGGCTAAGCGCCCGATACCTGTTTGCCATCTATGGAATCTATGCTATCTATGGAAGTGTAATAAATCTTCCGTTTCTTTGTATACAGAAGACTACATTTTATAAAATTCAAATTAGCATAAAAGCTAATGTGTCTTTGATTGTACATATTCATCGATTTCCTTACATTGTCAGTGTTGATATAATTGGTTAAGCGCCCGATACCTGTTTGCCATCTATGAAATCTATGCTATCTATAGAGGTGTAATAAATCTTTCGTTTCTTTGTATACAGAAGACTACATTTTATAAAATTCAAATTAGCATAAAAGCTAATGTGTCTTTGATTGTACATATTCATCGATTTCCTTACATTGTCAGTGTTGATATAATCGGCTAAGCGCCCGATACCTGTTTGCCATCTATGGAATCTATGCTATCTATAGAAGTGTAATAAATCTTCCGTTTCTTTGTATACAGAAGACTACATTTTATAAAATTCAAAGTAGCATAAAAGCGAATGTGTCGTTGATTGTACATATTCATCGATTTCCTTACATTGTCAGTGTTGATATAATCGGCTAAGCGCCCGATACCTGTTTGCCATCTATGGAATCTATGCTATCTATAGAAGTGTAATAAATCTTCCGTTTCTTTGTATACAGAAGACTACATTTTATAAAATTCAAAGTAGCATAAAAGCGAATGTGTCGTTGATTGTACATATTCATCGATTTCCTTACATTGTCAGTGTTGATATAATCGGCTAAGCGCTCGATACCTGTTTGCCATCTATGGGAACTATGCTATCTATGGAAGTGGGGAGTAAATCTTCCGTTTCTTTGTATACAGAAGACTATATTTTATAAAATTCAAATTAGCAAAAAAGCTAATGTGTCGTTGATTGTACGTCTTTCATCGATTTCCTTACATTGTCAGTATTGATATAATCGGCAAAGCGCCCGATACCTGTTTGCCATCTATGGGATCTATGCTATCTATGGAAGTGGGGAGTAAATCTTCCGTTTCTTTGTATACAGAAGACTACATTTTATAAAATTCAAAGTAGCATAAAAGCGAATGTGTCGTTGATTGTACATATTCATCGATTTCCTTACATTGTCAGTGTTGATATAATCGGCTAAGCGCCCGATACCTGTTTGCCATCTATGGAATCTATGCTATCTATAGAAGTGTAATAAATCTGGACATCTTCAAGGCCAGAGTGAACAGGCATCTTCTAGGCAGGCGTGTACCATCCTAGGCCTCATCATCGCTTTCCATCAGGTGAGATTGTGGTAAAACGGCATTGAAAAACTTCCGTTTCTTTGTATACAGAAGACTAAATTTTATAAAATTCAAATTAGCATAAAAGCTAATGTGTCGTTGATTGTACATATTCATCGATTTCCTTACATTGTCAGTGTTGATCTAATCGGCTAAGCGCCTGATACCTGTTTGCCAATAATGTGCTTTGATATTTTAGCTCCGCCTTCTTTAAATTTAGGCCAACTATTAACATTATACAGAAATAAATTTCTGTTTAGTCTTTAGGTACTTATCTTGGACTGTTAAAATTGTTATGAAAACGAAGCGTTTGCTCATTTGAAAATAAAAATAGTTCTTTTTTGATGATAGTAACATTGTGTAGAACATCTTTGATACTAGGTACCTTAGGCCGTATACAGAAAGAAAGTCGAAAGCCGATCGGCGGCGATCGGCGCTTATCGGCGGCTATCGGCGCCGATCCTTTCTACATAAAGGAAGCCGATTAAAGCAGATCAAGCAAAATGTCGGACTCATCGAACGATGATTTGGTTTTGTTAGAAAATGTTTATTTAAAAATGCGAAAAACAGCTATACATCCTATAAATAGAGAAAGGAAACGTTTCGGAGAATACCATCATTTATTTGTAAAAAAAAAAAAAATGATGAACAAAGATTTTATACATATACAAGAATGATACAAGAAACATTTTATTACATTTTGGATTTAGTGAAAAACCGTTTGATGAAAAATTGGGGCAATTGGCATAAACAACCAATCCTTCCAGAAGAAAGACTTGTTGTCACCATTCGGTAAGTACGAAACAAATAATTTTAGCGCTTAGTTAATAAAAGATAAAGTTATTAGATTTATAAAAAGATTATAACTTAGATTGATTTAATCTAAGGATAATAATTCAAATACAAATTATTTATTATTCGGACCAGCGCCGATCGGCTTTCGGCTTTCTTTCTGTATACGGCCTTAAGTATTTACAGACCAATAATTTATAATGTAATATATATAACTATATATATATGTGCACTAGGTAGAGAAACTCGAGTTGCGCTTGCGTACATATTAAATTTTTCATGAAATATTTTTCTCTTTAAAACACGTGTTGTGATTGTGAATATAGGAAAAATCTCTTAAACTTAGTCAAAAGATGCTTTTTTAAATTTAACAAGTAAAGGAAGGACATAATCAATAACAGAACGCAACCAAAGTAATTAAGTTAGCTAATGTGTCTTTGATTGTACATATTCATCGATTTCCTTACATTGTCAGTGTTGATATAATTGGTTAAGCGCCCGATACCTGTTTGCCATCTATGAAATCTATGCTATCTATAGAAGTGTAATAAATCTTTCATTTCTTTGTATACAGAAGACTACATTTTATAAAATTCAAATTAGCATAAAAGCTAATGTGTCTTTGATTGTACATATTCATCGATTTCCTTACATTGTCAGTGTTGATATAATCGGCTAAGCGCCCGATACCTGTTTGCCATCTATAGAAGTGTAATAAATCTTCCGTTTCTTTGTATACAGAAGACTACATTTTATAAAATTCAAAGTAGCATAAAAGCGAATGTGTCGTTGATTGTACATATTCATCGATTTCCTTACATTGTCAGTGTTGATATAATTGGCTAAGCGCCCGTTACCTCTTTGCCATCTATGGAATCTATGCTATCTATGGAAGTGTAATAAATCTTTCGTTTCTTTGTATACAGAAGACTACATTTTATTAAATTCAAATTAGCATAAAAGCTAATGTGTCGTTGATTGTACATATTCATCGATTTCCATATAATCGGCTAAGCGCCCGATACCTGTTTGCCAGCTATGGAATCTATGCTATCTATAGAAGTGTAATAAATCTGGACATCTTCAAGGTCAGAGTGAACAGGCATCTTCTAGGCAGGCGTGTACCATCCTAGGCCTCATCATCGCTTTCCATCATGTGAGATTGTTGTCAAACGTATTGCATTTTTTGCATAAAAAAAATAATAAATCTTCCGTTTCTTTGTATACAGAAGACTACATCTTATAAAATTCAAATTTATTAGCATAAAAGCTAATGTGTCGTTGATTGTACATATTCATCGATTTCCTTACATTGTCAGTGTTGATATAATTGGCTAAGCGCCCGTTACCTGTTTGCCATCTATGGAATCTATGCTTCCTATATAAAAGTGTAATAAATCTGGACATCAACAAGGCCAGAGTGAACAGGTATCTTCTAGGCAGGCGTGTACCATCCTAGGCCTCATCATCGCTTTCCATCAGGTGAGATTGTGGTAAAACGGCATTGAAAAACTTCCGTTTCTTTGTATACAGAAGACTACATTTTATAAAATTCAAATTAGCATAAAAGCTAATGTGTCGTTGATTGTACACATTTATCGATTTCTTTACATTGTCAGTGTTGATATTATCGGCTAAGCGCTCGATACCTGTTTGCCAATAATGTGCTTTGATATTTTAGCTCCGCCTTCTTTAAATTTAGGCCAACTATTAACATTATACAGAAATAAATTTCTGTTTAGGCTTTAGGTACTTATCTTGGACTGTTAAAATTGTTATTAAAACGAAGCGTTTGCTCATTTGAAAATAAAAATAGTTCTTTTTTGATGATAGTAACATTGTGTAGAACATCTTTGATACTAGGTACCTTAAGTATTTACAGACGAATAATTTATAATGTAATATATATAACTATAATGTTTGTGTGTATTAGGTAGAGAAACTCGAGTTGCGCTTGCGTACAGATTAAATTTTTCATGAAATATTTTTCTCTTTAAAACACGTGTTGTGATTGTGAATATAGGAAAAATCTCTTACACTTAGTCAAAAGATGCTTTTTTAAATTTAACAAGTAAAGGAAGGACATAATCAATAACAGAACGCAACCAAAGTAATTAAGTTTAATTTCCCTAACATATTAACCAACACCTTGAAATAACTTCGCGTTCAGGACTCGTAAATTGTGTCTTTAAACTCTTCCATGTAACTTTTTTTTTATTTTAGCGGGAGCGGGAAATGATGCGTGTCCGCCATTAACTGTCGCATAACTCTTTACTCTATGGCCAAGTCGTAAAAGTAAATTGTCGCCGGCTGTTGAAATGTCTACCCGGCCGTGTCAGTAGAACTTTGTAAGTGTTGTCTCGCATCGATGTTTCTGTTTGATTCATTTAAACCTTTAAACTCTGTTGTGACAAGGGAGATTACTTTGAAATATGGTTTGGTTTATTCCGACATAAAATGTTTCTTGTGGTTCACTCGGGTTGACTCGAAAATATGCATAAATTCATAAAACAACCATCAGTAAAAATATTTTTTTCACCTATAATTCAGAAAGAAAAAAATATGGTTTATTATATATAATACTTTATATAAGTAGATATCAAGTTAGGGAAGAAGGTATTGGCATAATTGTAATAAGCTAAAGTTACATTACTTTTCTAAACATAATTTATAAAAATATTTGTATTTTGCGCGTGATCAATGTTTTCTTTTTGTGGTTGAAGCTAGAGAAATTAAGGCCCATATTACAGAATGACAACTAAGTGTTGATCTTTACTTAAGTACAGTTAGAAAGGGATATCGCTATGTGCTATACATATATAGCGACATCCCTTTCTAACTATGCTCAATACTAGATCAATCACTGAGAAACTTTCTATAATACGGGCCTTAAACTTTTCACGTAAACTCTTTTCTCTTTCTTATCAATCACTGGCAATATCAACATTCGAAAGTTTAAATATCGAACACTCGTTCCAAAAAGATCCTACTGTATAGGACAGAGTGTAAACAACGTTGAGTTTGTTTACACTGGTTTACTTCCGTTACGGCTATTGCATTGGCTGCCTACTGGGGTGTAAATCTTTGGCTGTCAACGGCCATTCGACTCACGGCGACTGCACTGCTTCGCACAACTTCACGGAGTACTCGATCGGCCAATAGCAGAAGAGTCTGGCTTTTATCATTATTGTAAATCATATCTGTTTTTTTTTTATATTTTCAGTTTGTTGTTTCGGATCTTAGGTTATAAGTGAAATTGTGTTTTAGTTATTTCTTTTAATGAGGCGATCGACATTGAGGCTCAATTCACAGTGGCGCAGACTCGAAAGTGACTCGTCATGGTTTTCACTATAGTAAATTTATCTTATATTCCCGCTCCATGTTGGGAATACATAACGCGGCGCGTCGCTACGAGCTGAGCTGAGCTTTGTTGGTCCTTGTAATAATTATGTCTTCCAACTACAAAATACCTATGCAAGCTTTAAAGCTTTTAAATAGTTATTTATTTGTATAATTTGGGTGATAACGTGGTAATTAAAAAAACATAAACAAAAAAACATTTTCAAAAATAAATACTCATTTTTTTCTTTTGACAATCAACCAAAAAATGATAATGATAAAGCACGTCAAAGTTTAGGAGTGGGCTTCGTGACGTCACCGCTAAGTAAATATTGTACCAAGACGTGATGTTATGCTATCTATCAAATCAATATTATTATTTATTTCTGTAATGTTCAAAATTATGCGAAAAAAGTACGTGTCCAATACTTTTAAATAATCTACCTGATAGCGAAGAAAAATATTTATCGTCCCTGTTGGTGTTGTTCATAATGATATAGCTGCTCACTATGATATTTTATAGTTATAGATATGTCATACACGCATTTAATTACGCAATACAAAAAGAGACACATGTATTTTAAGTGCCTAATCAATGGAACTAATAATTTTGAATACAAGAGTAGAAGTCCCGAGTTTCAATTTTGGTTAAAACATTCACTGAACATTGAATGAATTATTAAAGATTTTTTCATGGAAATCGAAAATGCACTTTATTATGTCAAAGTTCAGTAATAATTTTTGTTTTGTTAATGCTCTACATTATCACTTTAAAATACACAAAATGAATCAGTTCGTAGCATTAAATTACGTAGGATATGAGAAATATTTTCAATTTTCTTATTTTAATTTTTATTATTTTTCATCCTATTAGAATATAGAGATGGATGTGTATCCCAGTTTCCCATAACACGCAAACTTATCTACGCGTACAAAAATAAACATTTCAGTCATTAATTACTTGTATTCGTGAAGACAACGAAAAAACAACGCGCCACATGCATAAACATGGAGTGAGCGAGACAAAAGCCCGCGCGACAGAGCGAGAGAGAAAAAAGCAAAAAAAAAGAACGTGAATTATATTTTTTTCTGTCATCTCTTCCTGACTTTTTGGAACAATCGATTTATAACTTTAAAGTTTCGTATGAAGCCATTTGTCGCGCGCTGTCAAAATAGGAATTAACAGTTGGAAATATGACACTCTGCCTGCCTACTGGGCGGCCGATGATGATATTAGGTATTATTTATCTATTCTATGGTGCAGCGTGATCCTTTGGGGGCTCAAAAGATTATCGGACTAATTTGAAATCTTTTTCCATTAGCCACATGAGCCGTGGTATTCTGAGATCCACTAAATCATTGCAGGTTTATTGATGAAGGTGTTGATTTGTGATCTCATTTGTTTTGGTTCACAAATAAATAAACGAGCAGAATATTTTTCACGCAGATTTTTTATATTAGCATCGATTGAATGTATTGAAATCTTTTAGGTGGATTATATTATTAGTGCTTTGTTCTATGATTTGCCTACTTTTATGCTGTGGCTGCTAATCTTCTCGCGCAAGTGGTATGGGCTGGCAATTTGTCACTTTTGTTTCCGAGTAATAACTAGCTATACTATTTGGGAAAGTCATTTTAAAATTATATCCTTTATTTGTTGTAGTTTAGGTCAGTACCGTAGGCGATACATTATAGTTCTTTTCATACGAAAATTCTTCTCAAGTTTAAATACATTTGAAAATTTATATTCTGAATCATATTTGAAAACACAAGAAAAAACTGACTTTAAAGATTATTAGTTTGCGTAAAGTTTTCTTCAACACGGGGCACGATAGACGTCCATTATTTAAGACTTGGTGCTTTCACGTTCTTTGCTGACAAAATAATATAATTTAACGCCAGCCTTAATAAAGTATTCATTGACGTCATTAAATACGCTCATTAATGTCACATTTTGATTTCTAATAAGTTTTTAAAGGTGCCCTTGGCGTTGATAGACTTTGCTTGCTTACAAAATGTTTTTTTACTGTGCTAAACTACCTAAGCTTCGGAGGCTTGAGTTATGGAATACTCGAGTACGGGTATAAATACATATAATTGATACATAGATAGGTATATTTTGTAGAAATATATAATAAATAAAAAACCATGACACAGGTACAAATGCTTATTTTCAAAATACAAATATTTTCTGCCAATGAGATTTGCGCTCAAGTCCTCAGAGTACGCAAAACCTAGAAAACAGGTGTATAATTAAAGTCCAGGCCACTAACGGTGTTTGTTTTTATATATGCGGAACTGGCGAACAAAACGGTAGAAGTAAGCATCTGGTCAAACTACTATTTTTTACAGATGAGGTTTCGGGCCCGTTAAATTTGAATCTCAAATAATTTTCAATCAAAACCGCCGAAAACAGTGTTAAAATTACTAAATTTATAAATCAAAACCCATGCCAAAAGCTCACTGGAGGTTTGTCACTCAATTTCATACAGCTCCTGTAAAATTTAATTTTATGTAATTATACCGTTTTGTTCGCCAACTATTCATTTATGTTATTAAATGTAAATGTTCCGTTTTCTTCCCTAGTCCTCCGGAGCAGAGTCAGCCTCGTGGAACGCCGCGTCGCCGCGAGGTGGCAGCAGTGGAGTCATGCCCGCAGCTCAGCCAGCCCTACGCCGCCGAACCCAGCGGCTGCGGCCCGCTGTATGCCACCCACGCACCCGTTCGGTACGTTCCCACTAGTGCACTGTGACCCGCAGTAGGCAACAGTGAGAGGCAGCCGTGGAGTCATGCCCGCAGCTCAGCCAGCCCTACGCCGCGAAGTAGTCGCCAGAATAATGGAAAATATCCGCTTGCATTGTCAGTTATAATTGTTGCAGTTGATTTTGAAAATGTCATAATGTCTTAAGATCGATACAGATCTGTTACTCAAGGTAAAAAAAAAACAGTTCACAATTAATCTTCTTTTGATCAAAGTTGACGTTCTACAAAATTTTTGAGAGTTGCCGTTCTTCAAAAAAGTCTCCTCCAGATCATCTCAATAATTTTGCCAGATATGGGAAAAAATAAATGTAATGATAAATAAATATTATTGGGTACACCTTTTTAGAAAACTTGGCTGTTGCATGCCTGCCAGTCTGCAACAAATATAGCGTATACGCAATTGAAATACCAGAATATGACTCACACATTATCTAACTGCATTCAATCCTATTTGGCTATTGCATATGTCCCTACAAGATTCCCCTTTAATACTGGAAAGTGACTTTATGAGATACCTCATATTGAAGTCATTTTGCAACTTGCCGACTCTGTATATAATACAGGGAGAAAAAAACAGCCCTTGCTGAGTTTGTTACTGGTTCTTCTCAGTACAAGGTCTCCCGCCGTAGATTTGCGAACCGATGGCGTAGCTTTTCGACATTCACAAGTGCTTGTAACAGCCTAGGCTGAATAATCGATATTGATTTTGATTTTTTGAAACCTTTTTAATCGACAGAAACACAATACGTTGTCTTTCTTCATTGTAGTCTTCTGTAAAGTGAAAGTTAAGACCCCAGACAGGCCCTTTAATTCCAGCAGAAAACCTACTCTACCTCTTCTGTTTAGCATCACCTATTTTTACCAGTGTTTATTATTTCCATAGGAATAGCAACTTACATAATGCTAAGCAACGCAATTCAACCAATGTATCCAGGAAATTTGCTACTGAATATTTAAATTCTGCTTAAATTACAGGTACCAACCTCATGCAGGCCACAATAGCGCATACAGTGCGTACTACGCCCACAGGTAGCCATCACTTTTAGGACTGGATGTGATAGTTTGAGAGCAAAGACATCATTATGATCATATCGGAGATGTGGGGAGAACCGAATGTAACAGTTTCACAACGTTTCCCCATCATTAGTATTAATGTCACTAGTGCTGAAATACGAGCTTTTATTGATACTTTTTATGTTTACAAAGTACCTATAATGTCTGTTAGGATTTTTAATAAGCTTCCAGGAAAACTAAGGTGTGAAAAAATAACAAAATATTTATAACATTATTAAAAGATTTATTATTAAACAAATTTTACTATAGTATACAAGGATTGTATGAATATAATTAAATAACTACAACCGACTATACCAAATTAATTAATAATATTTGTTTTGAGAAACGCATCTTCTCTTCCCCTAAAGTTGCTATATCCAACAGGGTCCATAATATGTACTTTTAATATTTTTTATTAACATCTATGTAAACATTATGGTTGTTATAAATATTGAGTATTGAGCCTTCATAATTAGTATTAGGTAATGAAACGACTGCTGAAATACGAGCCTTTGGGTTTGGGTAATGGAAGTTTGGTAGACGAGTTTATAATTACAAATAGTGATAATAATGCGGTAAATTAAAAGTAATTCTATTAAGTCTCTCAGTTACATTATCAAAAATAATGGACATTTTTTTTGTCATCAACCAACCAAAAAATTACAGAGAAAAAGAGCCTTCCGCCTTCGCAATTCTAAAAGATAATTTTCTGGTCATTTTTATTAGAAGGTGTTCAACATTTCTTCCAGGCATTGTGATTGCAATAAAAGGATTGGTAATATTCTCTCTTTATTATCAGTTTTTGTATTTGTTTTAATAAAAAAAACGGTACGCGCGGAAGCTGTATAATCAGTAATTCTTAAACAAAAATAATTAAAATTATAATGGAATTAATTATTCTGTGAAACTTTTGTAAGCGGTTCTTCGCGAAACGAGATCTGTAATTATTATTAAAATAAAATTTGTTTTATAATTCGGTTACTTGTTGTGATATTAATCAGGCAAGTTCTGATTTATTTCTCAATTTATTATTATGTTATTCGATTTGAAATAAAGAATTTAAAACCCCTTTTTAAAATCATCAAATTTTTAATAGAATAAGATAGGACTTGAATCCAGTTTTATCAAATTATGCATTCAGGCATTTTGCTACATGATAGTATACAGAAATATCATGTAGTCAAAATGCCTTTTGTGAAGTAAGAATATGAATACAAAATATGTCATATAAAAGATTTTTACTAGAAAAGAAACATTTTAAACTCGCATACTCATTGATTTTATTTTACACGATTGCGTTAAATATAAATAAATTTAAAACAATGTACACAATATGAGAATTCTTAAATATCCGACTATGAGACCGCATTAATATATTTGGTGTGGATTTCGTAGGTATGATATAAAAATAAATATGATTGTGATAAAAATGGGTAGCTTTTTAATAAAGTTCTGTACCCCTAGCACATACCAATATCGAATTCGTATCGTTTGCGAGTCCGAAGTGTCATTGTCAAATGTGTACTGATTTTTAGTTCTCGTTACGTACTTTGTGCCGCTGCTGTTCAAGTTTCCATACAAAATTTGACATTGACATTTCGGTTTGCAAACTATTCGAATTCGATATTGGTTCGTGCTAGGGGCACTGGTATCTAAGTTTTCGTAAGAGGCTTGTCTGAAATCATGTGTTGATATTGAAAGTTGTAAGATAAATTGAAATAATTGTTACACTTCAGTAAAAATTACGTATACCTTGTCTTAATGTTTATTTTAATTTTCTTATCTGTACGTATTTTGTTGCAGTGGTTATTTTTAATACATAGATAAATTATTTAGATTGTGATAGAGCAAACATATTTTATTTAATTAATGATTATCAGCCATATATACAATCTAATGTAATAAATAGATACTCAATACCAATACCTTACGGGATCATTTACACTAGACAATAGTAATTGTGAATTTTGAGGGGATTCTTCATAACTGTGTCGTGTGGAAACCAATTTAATTTTATGTATTGTTAACGTTACCAAAATGAAATGCCTCTGTATAATACTCTTAAAGTTAGTTTACTATTCTTCTTAACGACTGAGAAGAAACGAGTGCCAACCAAGTCAATGAAATTAAAAACCAAAATGTAACCAAAGGTAATATATAAATCTAAATAAGATCCTTAGTATTTAGTTAAATAAGTTTGTATATTAAAGTTAAACCTATTAAAGTTCGGTTAAGCTCAGTGCATGTGTTTTATTGTAGAACGTTTTTAACCGATTTCAAAATGGAGAAGGTGCATCATTTGACTGTATTATTTTTGTTCATGTTACTATCATAGAATACCTGTCTAATTTCTTCTAACTGTTCTGGCATTAAGTTATACGTTTTTATTCAAGTTTACATTTACATTCTTGTCACTTCAAATCAATAAATAAAGACAAAGTCTTGTTTACATTAAGAAGAAATAGTATTGCATTTGTTGAGGCAAATTTTCGATTTGGGGTGTTCTAAAGTGTGACTTTTCTGATATCGTGTAAGTCATTACGTGGTTTACAGTAGCTGAGCCCGGTTCGTCTCCGCGATCAACGATCACTTTAGAAGTAACTGTCTCTTCGAATTCTTCTCCCACCAGTTCAGGCTCTGGTTCTGCCGGCTCTTCAATGGGCAAAATGATTGTAGTTGTAGTTGTGGTGATCGGTTCTGGGTAATAATTCGGGTAGTATTCTATTGGAGTGAACATTGGTGGTTCGTAGAGTTTCGGCATGTGGCTCACGGGAGCTTGGTGATGCACTGGAGGAGGTGGCATTTGGGTCTCGAGTGGAATATTGAAGTAGTAGCTGTACTGAACTGGTTCATAATGTCCATGGCTAGGTAACTGTGAATCAACATGTTCTGGAACATATTCGAAGTGGGGAGGAGTCTCCAGTTGCTCGGCAACATCTTCATCTGGCACGTGAGTGTAAACGTAATACGTATTATTTTCAGTAGAACTCTGAACGAGTTCCCCGTTCAATGGCACGAAGTCTATATGATCAGTAACGTTTTTAGTTTTATACGCATCTTTCAAAATAGAAGATAACTCTTCGGTTTGCTTGCTAGAGGCAACTGCAAGATCAGCGAACACATCTGGATCAGGAGTGAATTCAATTCCGTATTTGTCGGCAATCTCTTGAGCGGTCATCAACTTCTCGATAGCGAAGTTCTGGTGTTCGTTAGTTAACTTGATGTGGTTTAGCAGTCTCGTGATCAATTTTGTGCTATCCATTGGATTCTCTGCGGATCTTTTCTCTCTTAAGCTGCTTTCACTGACCTCTTTTTGCGTATCCTTAAGAGCAAGAGTCAGTAGGTGTGCCATTTCATTTTGAATAATAGCTGATATTTCATCCGCCATTTCTTTCATATCTTTTATTTTTTCTTCTGGCGGTTTGTCGGTGTTAACAACTTGAGCCATTTTCGTAGCAGATGATGAAGATGCGAATGCAGTGCTCTTTGGCAACGAGAATAGATCCATCCAATCAGCGTCAATGGATCTGAATTCTTCAGGGGTATCGTCTTCTTCTATTGGCGCATTTTTCAAAACATCTCTTAGTGGTGCTTCATCATGTTCATCATCGACATCGATGTTTGCATAAATTAAGGAGAACTGAAATTAATTAGAAGTATTATTAAAATTTAAGAAAATTTATGAAAGAAAATAGAATTAAATCAATTCATTTAAGTCTCATCGTATCTTGCATTCTCTATGAAAATATTCATTAATGGATTATTTTTACAATAGTGAATTTTCTTTGCAAACATCATACATGTTGTTTAGAGTTTATGAAGATGGTATTGATAAGTTTATGTTACGATATAAAAGTAAAGAATAAATTATGAAATAGGAATGATCAACTTTGAATTAATCTGAAAATAATATAAATAATTCATTATTGTTTTATTACCTGAAGAATAACAGCGAAAAGAATCAAATATCGCGCCATGACGGATGAAGGTACGACGTCGGACGCACTATTTACTTTCAGTATTTTAAAAAATGTATTTTATAATAAAGGTTATCAGTTCATTAGGAAATGGAGGTATGTGTTTCAACAAATATTTCTATGCATGAACATTTGAATGTCGAAATTTTAATTGTGAAATCCCGATATGGGTAACAAAGACGTTAGGTAAAATTTATTGCGTGTTATTTATTTTATACATTTATCAATATTATGACGTGTATTAAAACTTCAGATCATTTCATTCAATAATTTATTATGTTATATAGTAAAATTGTTACAAAATAATAAATTAGCGTCTACCTTAACAAAAAATCAAGTTATTGATCGGTTGTTAGATTCGACCATAAAAAAATCTACTCATCCATGTCCTCTCTTTGAGAGATCAAGTGAGATTCAAAAAATCCTAATGAAAATTCCAAATATACTTGACAAGTTACCATAGTTATGATTCTAGTATCCAGTAATAATTCAGCATTTAAATGGATAGTTAATAGAATAGATCAAAAGGATTTTATTTTCTGATAACTCATCAGATTTTAATAAACTAGATAGAACACATTACTATTTCAAGTGAGTATTGTGAAGAAACTCGTGGTACCCAAGTTCCATACAAACTTAAAATATTTCTAGGAGTAATAGGAAGAATCAGTAAAAGGCACTGGTGGGTAGGATGGGATCATGCTATTGGGAACTTGATAAGGCTGCGCTTTGTAATACTGGGGACTATAAACAGGAGAAGTGGGGCACACGGGAGCAGGTTGTGGCGGGTAAGACGAGTGTGAACAGGAACAGGGTGGGGCAGGATAATCAGGTTGGGGTGGTGACGAGCAGGAACATTGTGGGCAATAAGTGTTCGATGTACTAGGAGGGTATGAAGGCGAAGGAGTGCTTGGATAAGGCGCCGGAGGATTGTTGGGACACGGCTGTGGGTGTTGTGGAGCTGTGTTAGGAGGCTGGTATTGCGGTTGAGGATATTGTGGAGTACTAGGGGGATATGAAGGCGGTGGAGGTGGCTGGTATTGCGCAGGTGTATAAGACGGAGGATTGGAAGGCGGGTACTGTTGAGGAGGATTAGGGTATGATGATGGATAAGGAGGTGGTGGATACGAAGCCGGCGGATACGGGTATGGTTGCTCGTAATATTGAGGCCATGCAGGACTCTGACTGTATGGGTTTTCCGAAGGCTGATTAGATTCTGGAGGGTAATATGGTGGGGTCTGATATGTAGTGGAGGATATCGTTACAGTTGGATTATTGGGTGTTGGCGGTGATATGGAGACGGCAGATGGAGCGCCTTGTGATGATGAAACATAGACGTATTGAGGGCTATTCGGGGGTGGTGCTGGGTAAGCGGGGGGTGGGTAATTATGAGGGTAGCCGTAGTTAGGGTCGTATGCTTGCGCTGTGTTGCCTGTGTAGTCGGGTGTTGATGCTGATGTAGAGTAAGTCGGTGGACTTGACGAGTTCGGGCCCTGCGATTTGTTCAAGAAAGCTGAAAAGAAATATGCATGTATTATAATACATATCCGCATGGATTAAATAAATTAGCCTTGAGGAGTTAGTGAATATATCAGATAAAGTATGACATGCACGTGCATGTCATTCTTAAAGGCATTGCTCAATAACCACAGTTGGTATTAGTAAGCCTACGATATTGTCCGAAAACTAAAGTAAATTAATAATATTTTTAACATATTTGCTCAAAAAATGCATTTACGGAGGTTGTATACATTGTTCGAAAGTTCAAAATTACGGACCAAATAACGGAGCGTGCGGTAAACATTTTAACGTACGCTCCCTTATACGGCACCGTGGGTATCCTTAACGATTTTTTTTTATTCCAATCAAACCTCCTTGAAAGCGAATTTAATCTGTACATTTGTCTCACTTTAAAACTAAAAATAACAATGTATTTCTAATTTTCACCACCCAAAAATGGAAATGCGTGCCATTTTCTTATTAGAAAAAGTTTGCTTTATTACCAGACTTCAGGATCAGGTAGGCATACAGTTTTCTCGCAAATGTGTTGATAAACGTTGTATGATATTTGTAAAGAATTGGTATTTACAAACTCGTGACCATGGTTTGTAATAACCAACTTACCATACAAATATAATATAACAAATATCTTACATGCTGCATAAAGGTAAGCAAACGAAAAGTACAGGTCGCGGCACGGAACTCTAGCGCTGAACAAAAGGCGGAGGGGATAGCTGCGCATGGGTACGACTGGAGAGCCAATAGGCGCAACGCACGCCCACCCGCGCACCTCGTTTCCCCCCAACACATCTTAACTTTTACTTCTGCGCAATAACGATCAGTACTAGAGTTTCGTGCCGTGATTTATAACTACTTAAATATGAAAACAACAAAACAAAAAAAAAATAGTAAAAGATACGAGGCAGTAGACCAATCTTCTAATATTAAATATAAATAAATATAAATATCTCCAACACTCACACCAATTTAGCCTAGCCCCAAAGTAAGCACTGTAAGGCTTGTGTTATGGGATGCTAGGGTAACGGATAGAATACATATACAGTACATAGTATATTTATATAGAAATACATATTAAACATCCATGACTGGAGTACAAATGCTCATGTTCATCACACAAACATCTGCCCCCACCGGGATTCGAACCCGGGACCTCTCGAGTCGGCGACACCATGAAACCCGGCGTACAAACCACTCGGCCACGGAGGTCGTCAAAAAAAATATTGTCATTACAATCTACAAAAAAGTTTCATGTCAACTAATTGTATTTTTATTATTTTTTATATAAATATAAGCAAAAACTATTGAATTCTAAACTTACGCATACTTCGTTAGATTTTTTAATCTCATTGCCTCTACATGTTGCAAAATTAATCATCCCCATTTTGTTGACTTTGACCCTGCCACCCCAAAGTTATCATCATAAATTTCCCTGCGGGGGGTGATATGATACCTCGTAACTACACAGTCAAGAGCAATGAAAAGGGTCGGTCAAAATATCCTTTTAAGTGTTGAATTTTATAATTTAAGTTATATCGTCGTCGTCGTTTCGTCGTAGTCGTTTATATAAATTAAATTTTACATCTAATTAGATGTAAAGTTTTTTACCTAATTAGGTATTATACTAAAATAAGGTAACGCGAAAATGTTTATTAAAATTAAGTAAACTTTTACTTCCTATTATTATATATGTAATTTAAAAGTTACGTTTTTTTATTTTTAAACATTGAATTGCTACTTGTTGACTAACTAAACCGGTTTCCGAAAATCTTGGTGACAAGGATTCATTACTCGATCCCTGGCGATTAGACTCTTTTTATTAACATCTTTAAGACGATTCTTTAAAGTAAAATCTCACTTTCGTTTCGGTAGCAGCCATTTTTGACATTGATATGCATTACGCCATTACACGGCAAAATATCGCTGTCTGTAGAAGCAGCAAGGGCGGATCCAGCTTTAATGGCGCCAGCCCCCCCCCCCTCCCCTCATATAGTAGGTCATATAGTAGTGGTCAAGTCACAGTGGGTACAGATTTTGAAGTTGGTACAGATGGACCCAGCTCAGGGGGGTCCCCCCCCCCCCCCCGCTGGATCCGCCCTTGAGAAGCAGCCGGTATTAGATATTTGGCATTTGTCACAAATCCGAATAAATGAGACAGTAAGTAAGACTGCATCTTACAGAATATCTATGCAAGGTTGGCGTGTTAAAAAACGGTGAAGTTTTATGAAAAAAAAATGATGCAAGTGAAATTCGCTAATAATAAAAATCCTTGGTCAGCTGGACATCGAAACTGGACCGCCCGCGTAGAAGGCGAGATTTCTACCACTGGACTACCGATGCTTATTTCTTTCGTCTGAATTTTCTAATCAAAACTGTAATGGTTCACTTTAAAAAAAACTTACGTGATGAGTATAGTGCACTGATCATTTGGTTCATTCGTTCGTGGAGTGATGCCATCTGGAATTAATATTTTTTTAATTAATTTAATATTTTTTTACTTAATCTTTAAAAAGGCTGCACCCCATTTATGAATGGTCTCTTTTATAGATATCGCTTTTTATTAGTTAGGTTTTAAAGTTCAGCTACACTAAGGCCTCGCTTTGTACTAAGAGCGAAAGCAGTCGCGCCATCATCATTCAGCCTATTAATGTTCCTATTGTTAGGGCAGAGGCCTTCCTTATGGATGAAATACCAGTCCGGATTGGTGGAAGCTAATGACTACAAATGCAGCCGGGAGCAACAGTTTAATGTGCCTTCTGAAGCACGGAAATATAATAAGTTTCTGGTAACGAAACCGTGAGGGCGCCATCCGTGAGGGCGCTCACCATCAAGCTCGCCATATGAATTTTAGCCACTCTTTCCACATAAAAGGCATACACTCAACAAAAGAACCGGCACGAATATTTATAAAAAAAAAGTATTTTTTTCACTCACTTGAGATTTCTGCAACTGATGACAGCTAGGTACGCTGGCATGACTTAGTCCTATCATCAAAACACTTAACTTTATGAGTGAACTTAACATTTCGCTGGTTTTCTTACTAACTTAACACGAATAAAGAAAGCAGCTTTAAAATCTAAAACTGCATTGATGGTTAGTACTTAATATTCCTTTTTATAAATATTTAGAGAAAAGCAGGAACGTGATGTTTGATAGAACCTGCGATGATGATAAATGATAATAAGTATCTTTTAGATAATGGATGCATCAGAGATTTTGAGATAAATCTGTGTTAATTATCGGTCACGACTTCTATGAACATTATCGGAAACAGTTCTTGAGATGTTGACATGTTTTTTTATATCTAAAGATTTCTTTTTCAAGAAATAAAAAACTTTGTTGTCCCTTTAAAATTACTTAGGGGTTTCTAAGGCTCGTATTTCAGAATGACAATTAAGTGTTGATCATTACTTGTGTACAGTTAGAAAGGGATATCGCTATGTGCTATATATAGCGACATCCCTTTCTAACTATGCTCAAGACTAGATCAATCACTGAGAATCTTTCTATAATACGGGCCTAAGAAAAATAAGACATAGACTATATTTCGAATTAGGGATCCGTTTGCGAAATATTGAACTTTAAAGTGCTAATCTTTGTTCGTCTTGACTTGAAAAACCTGGAAAAATTCATGATAATAGTGATTTTCCTGCACTTTTAAGAAAAGTTATAACGGTTAAAATAGATTTATTAGTTTAAGAGTAATAATAGTCGATCAACTTATGTGTTACAAAACTGACCTAATAAAAATTCCTTAGAAGAAAACATAAAAGTGCCTTAGACGAAATAATTGTGAAAAGAAAAGTTTTAAAAATATAGACTCCTTCCAAAATATATTGTGGTGACGACGAGCAACTACGCAATCCTACACGACGCGTGATATGACACGCACTTGGCCGTTTTTTTTATCTCTATTTGTCTTTAAATGATCGACAAAATTACAATGAATTGTTTAACAGAATTTAGTAAGAATGTTGGCGCGCTGTTCCAGAAAATATCTTAGGCTATCCCTATGCAACATAGATCGATAAGTGTGCTATAATTTTTAATTAATTTATTTTCAAATTAATTCGTTAAGAAAGCATAATTATTATATAGGCATTGAAATGTCAAAAATGAAACAAATTTCATGTTTATTAATTAGTTTTTTATTTTCAGTGATTGTAACATTATAAATCAGAATAAAATATAGAAATTTTCTTATTTCTTTACGCATATCTTTATATATATAATTCTTCTGTGAGTGTGTATGTCACTGAACTTCTCTTAAACGACTGGACCGATTTTGATGAAATTTTTTGTGTGTGTTCAAGGGGATCTGAGAATGGTTTAGATTCACAATTTTGTCCGCTGGACAATGTTTTTTGAATTAATTTTTAATTTATTAGTAGTTGTTGATTTTGGAATGTTTTACATTGGATCCGACAGACGGCGCTACCATCGCAGTGTCAAATTTTCAAATTAAAGACGTGTAGACAGGACAACGTCTGTCGGGTCCGCTAGTCTTCTCTACTATATAAAAATAAGTCGGGTTTTCCTTCCTGACGCTATAACTTCAGAACGCACGAACCGATTTCCACGGTTTTGCATTCGTTGGAAAGGTCTCGGGCTCCGTGGGGTTTATAGCAAAGAAAATTCAGGAAAAATTATAAAAAAAAATCTTCTTTTAATCACCAAACGAAATGTTACATAAAAAGAAGCCATCTGGTGGCGAAACGGAGTTCGCCGGGTTTGCTAGTTTTGATTTGATGATTAATTTAGTATGACAAAACCTTTGCCCACGATAAACTTACGTAGTGTTTATTATTATAAAAGACAGGAAAAACAGAATGTAGATAGATACATATTAAAAGAATGTTCTAAATACACATTTTACGTATCTATAATATCCTTGCTGGACACTTAATTCGTATTGGCTAACATATCAATGAATGTGGTTATTTGACGACCTCCGTAGCCGAGTGGTTTGTACGCCGGTTTACATGGTGTCGCTGACTCCAGAGGTCCCGGGTTCGAATCCTGGTGGGGGCAGATGTTTGTGTGATGAATACGAGCATTTGTACTCCAGTCATGGGTGTTTTATATGTATTTCTATACAAATATACTTATATATGTACAGTATATGTATTCTATCCCACCCTAGCATCCCATAACACAAGCCTTACAGTGCTTACTTTGGGGCTAGGCTAATTAGTGTGTGTGTCGGAAATATTTATTTATTTATTATTTTTAAAATTTAATTTAAACATGCTTGAATTTGAGTGAACCTATACCCGCCCCTTCCCTATTAATAAAACGAACGAAGACTTCGCTTGAAGTATGTGATGTCTTTTTCTATTGAATGATAAATGGTATTTGAGTGACATGAACAACATACGGCGTAACTAGACTAAGCTTATTCCTTGTTTATTAATAATAAGGGGGATAGAGAGGACCCGAGTCTATCGTGCCAAAGGGACGAACGTCAAATGTTTGACAGAAAACTAGGTAGAAGAGTTTTTATGTAAAAATAAAATTGTTATTTTAACTGACTTTCTCGCAATTTTTCCATATTTCACACCGTTTAAGCCGTCCTTGGACTACGACAAACATTTCAAAACTAAAATCCGCTGAATCGGCCTAGCCGTTCTCGAGATTCAGTCAAACGAACCACAATTGTTTATAATTTTTATTTTTAAGCATTTTTAAGCTTGATGTTTAAATCTAAAGAAAATATAACTAGAAAAAAATCCACGCGGGCCAGACAGCAGATGGTTGGCGTGGATTTTTTTCTAGTTATATTTTCTTTAGATTTAAACACAATTCATTATTTAGATAATATCATATTGGTCCAAACAAATAACTTCTCCCCACCTGATGTTAAGTGACGGCTGAAGACCAAACGCAAGGGTGGTATTAGTCTTAAAAAGTCTAAGGCCCGTATTATAGAAAGATTCTCAGTGATTGATCTAGTCTTGAGCATAGTTAGAAAGGGATGTCGCTATATATAGCACATAGCGATATCCCTTTCTAACTGTACTCATAAAGTAAAAATCAAGTAAAGATCAACACTTAGTTGTCATTCTGTAATACAGACGTTAGACTAACTTTTTTTCATTTATTTAAAATCATAATAAATAGTAGTTACATCATTTTTTTTAAGCAGCATTAAAAAATATAGAGGTTTATAGCAATCTAGCTAACTACACACCCGAGGCTAATTACATACAAAGTACGGTGGCTTTAGGATACAGTACTCTCATACTCTATTTTTACACATTATAGCTATGGTGTCTCCTCCATTTAGCTACGAGAATCTCCAAGCCAAGAAGGCAGAACGATGCCACTGCCGCCAAAGCAGTCAAACCCAAAAGAGGCATTACGTCCCAGAAGGTAACTCGTTCAGCCAGCATTGCAGCTCTGCACGGAGGTGGTTGGATCCGCATCCGACTTATAAGCCTTTTGGCGTGGCCAGTCTCTTGAAGCCAAGCTCCTGCGATGCGGAGGAGGTTCGTGTACTGACCTTTACGAGCAGCGGTTACCCAAGACATCATCTGGAGATCAGACGAAATCTGAGTAAAGACTTTAAGAAATTGATTGCATGGCTATTTTACATGACAATTAAGAATAAGTTAACCATTCCAGAAAATACGTTTGTAAAATACTTAAATCTGAAAAATCACAAAGAATGTGACCGCTATGCTCAAGCAGAGAATCATCTTTGAACAAAGCATCATTTCTGGCACTTATACATAGAGAAGGTGGAATAGAAGGAATTTATGCCTGAATCGTATTGTCTGAAAGTTCAGATAATTTATTTTGGAGTGCTTGTACTAGAGGGCTACATTCTTCGAAACGAAATGAGATTCAGCATATCGCTGTCGCATCAGATGTCTTCGCATTTCGATTCCGACATCAAGCGAACACTAAAACATATATTTTACTTGGTATCCTTCAACCATCCATCCATCAGCCTTTCTACGTCCACTGCTGGCTATAGGCCTCCCCCATAGAACGCCACAATGCGCGGTTCTGCGCTATCCGCATCCAGCGGCTCCCATCACATTTGACGATGTCGTCAGTCAGATTCAATAATCGAAAATATCGAAAGATTCAAGATCAGACTTCCTAACTAATATTTTAAATGCGATATTGAGTTGGTTGGTTTGTCACTCAATCACGCAAAAATTACTGAACGGATTTGGATGAAATTTTGGTACGTATATAGTTTATGACCTCGATTGACATAGGATACTTTTTATTCCGGAAAAATTTTAGGTTCCTGTGGGGTCTTAAAAAAACTAAAGTTAACGTGGACGAATTCAGGGGTGACCGCTAGTAATCTAATAATGCTTCAGTACGAGAAAAATAAAATCATTAGAGAGAAAAATAAATTTGTACTGTAAGTAGGCTTGTCCCGTGTCCAGTAATTAGACCAATTGTCCCGAATTCCGATAATGTACTAGTTTCGTAACAAAATAAACTAATAACAAATTGTACCACTTGCCTGTTTGATGTTTTTATTCTTGGGGGTGATGGGGGATTTCGTTTTCAGGAGGGTGGAGGGGTGCTAATGTCCTGGAATTGATTAGCCAGTATCTGGCAACGCTAACTGTAAGGCGTAGCGCACGGGAAAGGCGCGGCGAAGACACGTGACTCTGAGCTCTCTACGTGGTGGTCAAGAGCAACGATATTAAATACCCTAGATACACCACGTGCGCTCAAATTGTGCCCCTATCAAGAAGTGCTTGAACACGACTCTAGCACTTCTTGGTTCACAGTCACTCGACGCCGGTTGAAAAGACACAATGCCGCTGAGCTCCGTGAAAAAATGCAAAATGAATACTTATAGTACATAAAATGTAATTTTTTCGACAGGTATCTAATCAATGGTAGTTAATTTAACGCATTTAAAGCAAATTTTGTTTTAATACTTACTATAAACTGATTTAATAGAAAATAATTGTGGTATTCAAATGCATGGTCAGTAATATAGCCGTCTCTTTTCTTAGCGGTCCGTACTTGCTATACTGCTAACAGCGTTTTCAGAATTGCGCGCAGAGCCAAACAAATAAGGTCTATATTCTTCCGTATATAGCAATAAGTCGTAAGATTTTACGAGCTTACAGCTCGGACTGTCATAACTCTTTGCCGCATGCGTTTTAATTAAAACCTTATGCTGTGCGCTTTAAAGGTGATTTTAAATGTTTAAATAATGCCTTATATTGTTTAAACTATGCGATCATCTTACAGAGCTCCGTGGATCGTTCAATGTACCTTTTGGACAGGTTTCGGGCATGATTTTGTTCGTGTTGGTGTATCTAGGGTATTAAATATCGTTGGGTCAAGAGCCATGGAGCGACGCGTAGCGACTTTGAACGAGGCCTAGAGCCACAGAGCGGAGTTTTGTGTATTGTTTCATGTTTACCATTATTTTCTTTTACTTATTATATATATGTATCTTATATATAAGAATTGGAGTTTAACTTAAATTGTTAACTTCTTGGTATCTTCGCCGCTCTGGGTTCCTATAAAATATGTTTACCTCTGGTATAGTGTCGACATGCTGCATCTTGCAGATATCAGCGTCACTCAAGATGTTCAAATACGGATACAGCTGGTGGTATTCCGCATGGTAAGCGGTGTACCCCTGCTGCACCAGCTGGACCCCGTACTTGATGTCCTGGTAGAACTTAGGCGTGACCTTCTTCTTCTTTAGATATTCCAAATCGGTCCAATTCGTTTTTACCTAAAACGATATCGCTTTTAAGAATAGGGTATTTGACAGTGTTAAAAATAAAGTGTCAATTGTTAGCATCTGTGTTTAGAATGAATATTGGCAGGGGTTTTTACTATTTTTACAAAAAAATATTCATGATTTTACTAAAACCTAATGAAAAAGATAATAGTTTTCTTACTTATTGTCACGTGACCCATAACGCTTGGTATTGGCGGAGCCTAAAATGACGTCACACGCAAGTAAATTTCCGGATAAAGTGACATTACATTGTATCGTTTGAAGTTTTAATATCAGTCGTGTGACGTCACATACTAGTAAGATGCCATATTGTCCAGAGAAACGTTTTCGCGGCAACTTGAAAATGGGAAATTTTGATTTGGTTATTTTTACTTAAGTAGAGTCTGTGCGGAAAGAGAATGGGCGTGGCGAAAAACGGAACTAACATTAAGATTTTTATTTGGCAATCAAACCCAGAAATCTGTAAAACGTCAAAGTTTTGTATTGATACGGATTTGTTGGTTGTTGTGATTTCTTGCGGTTTTTTGTATTTAATCATGTCTAAAATGGGTAAAACCTTACAAATACGGTAGAAAAGCACTACAGCGCCCTGCAATCTAAATCCCATTCTCTTTCCGCACAGACTCTACCTCCGTTGCTTCGGAAGGCAAGTTAAGCCGCTGGTCGCGGATGAAACAGCTGCAGCTGTTAGCACCTACCAATCCGCACTGTAGTCACATCCCATCTTTCCAATGACACATACATAGAGAAGGTTTGTGCCCCAGCAGTGGGGATATTAATCTCCTGATGATGATTACCTATAGGATTAAGATTGCCGAGTGGAGACCAAGAACCATTGGCGTTATCATCATCATCATCAGCCTATTAATGTCCCCACTGCTGGGGCACAGGCCTTCCCTATGGATGCAATAGGGAGATTGGGCCATGACCCACTACGCGGGCCCAGTGCGGATTGGTGGGTGCTAACGACTGCAGATGCAGCCGGGAACAACGGCTTAACGTACCTTCCGGGGTATCCGAAAATACCCCATGCATGTTTCGTGATTTTTCTTAGTTTTCGAGTTATAGTTTTTTTTGTGTATTTTTAATGATTTTTTACAGCAAGGTTTCAAAAATTCTTATCTTTTTTCGTAGTAGATATTTTGCAGTATTTTTTTTGTGACATAATTTTCTTGAATGTTGTTTTAATAAAAAAATAACAACTTCCTGCAATTCCTCAAAGTTACTCAAAAAAAGCTTGAAAGTTGGATCTTTAGTTTTTAGTAGGATTTATGATAAAAAGTTATGGAGCTGCATTCAATTCCCAATGAACAAAGATAAAAGTTTTGAAACAGTTTCAGTTGAACCTAATAACAACTATCTCACAAAAGAAAGAAAGAAGGTATACCAATAACAAAATGTTATTTCGCACATACGACCCTTGTTCCTTTTATTAATTAAATCTGATACTTGAAAAAAAACGATAATGGTGAAAAAGGAACATGTGAATTAACCTTATGACCCACAAAATAAAATATTTTTACCAGTGATTGGCCAGCGAGTTACTCCGTTTTGTACTACCCGAACTAATTTAAAATAAGATCTCGCGCCTCAGGTATATTTACCAAGACGGATTTTACGCATTCACCCTTTATCTATAGAATTGTTGATCAGCCCATCCGACCCTGCCTCTATACGCCTTTGCCGAGAAAGAAGGAGAGCATGCAACCTATATGCCTGACTGATGACATCACTAAAATAGTAGGCAAGACCTAGACGCGCGTAGCGAAAGATCGCGTAGAGAGACTATAAGCCTATACCTGAGAATGGGAGAATCCGAGCTTATAAAGAAGAAGAAGATGATGATTATTAGATAACGCTTACATCAAACATGATGGAACGAATGAAGTCATGATCGTCGCTTGCTATAGCGTATCTTGAGTCAGCCAGCTGCGTCAGAGTTCGTGGTCCGCCGCGTCCAGAGCTCATCAACGCAGATACGATGGCCGATGTATAATAGGCGTGAACCAGCATTGAACAGACTGATAGGACCGTGAAAGTCCACCTACCAGAGAGGCTGCTGGGTACAGCGCTTGCATCTGGTTACAAGAAAACCCTCTATTAATACTTGAAGGCGCTAATATTTTTTGTAACACAAGACCACTAATTTATAATGGCTTTTAAAAGCTCTAAGGCATAAAGATGGAGTTTAGTTAGGTCCAGATATGCTATTCTTCTTAAAAAAGGTTCTCTTTATAAAAATCTTCCTTCACTATTATTGGAGTTTACTCCTTAAGAATCGATTTGCATATATAAGGGGCCCGGTATGCGAAAAATGTGAGGAGTAAAATCTATCGATGAATGACCTCGTTACGTTTTTGGTGCGCATCCTATGTCGCGCAACTTTGACAAACAAAGATGACGGATTGACATTAATAAAATTTTTAAAATCTAAACTGAATTTAGATGTTGTTTCTGATAGAGCAATGGGGACAACGAGGTATGGTACAACCATTGATGCGGTATTTTCAAGATTCGTGAACCACGTATCTACGAACGTCCATGTGTCTTATTTTAGTTACCATAAACCACTTGTCACTGTAATAAATAATGAAGACAATGTTGATTTAATTAATATTTAAAAAAATGATAATAGTTTGATAATAATAATTACATAATTTATCAACATTCCTAATGATATATTTATGCACATCTGAAATTGACTATTGTAAAAAGTTTAATGTAAAATATTTCGTCGATTAGTTATAATAAATGTATATGAAATGAATGAATATATAATTATTTATATATGTATATTATTTTCATTAATTTTTTAATTTACCCTTTCATACAGTATCAATCTTTTTTAAGTTAAATAAACTTTTTTTTGCGTCTGGTTAGACTATCGAACTTAAGGAGTAAACTCCAGTCATGCGTCGGAGCTGACACAATCAATTTTTATACGATAAACATAAATATTAAAGTTTTTTATTGGTCATACGAGTCGTTTACCTTGTTGCAACCACGTAGCCAGTACAGCCATAAAAGCACCTTCCCTCTCCTCCACATTCCTGGACGTGAGCCACTGTGCCAGCGCAAGAGTAACTCCCACCACAAGACAGCAACCCCAAACAGCGGCCGTGAAGGGCTCCACGTACATATTACTGCTGCTCTCACGCTCAGCCAAGTACGTGAACCCGACACTGTGTTGGCAAAATCATGATTAACAAATACTTAAACAGTACCATATGCCTTTGATGAGAAGCAACACTGACGTAGGTACCACATACAAGGTTTCAATGCTAAGATTTAACGATAATATCATTGGATAGATACCATTAAGACAGATAAATATATTTTGATTGTTTGTTACTTTGCAAGAATTAAATTTATAGGTTTTAATTAATATCTGAAGAAATCTAATCTAATTAATTCGTCCTACGAACCAGCACCAGCAACTGCCATCACCACCGCTCGTGATAAAGACTGGATCATCAACGAAGCACGAGACTGAGCAGCTGCCCAAGGCCCAAGCCACCCAATGCCCATCTTGCTGTTTAGGTAAACAAGATGTTTGTAGTCAAACATTGCAATGCGCGTGTTCATCAGTCGCAGTATGCCCCCAATCACCTCCGCCGCCCCCACCTCCAGCATTAGCATCATGCTCCTGTTACTTTCCTCAGACACTCATTGCAATGTCGGCAATAATATCTCACTGAACAATGCAGCGACCTGAAATCTCGGTCGCTTCGTCGATGGCACACTTGTCTGACCCTTGGTTGCGCCATATCACTTTCTCCCCATCTGGAGATTAATTAATTTAATTCAGACGTTGCTTAGTACTTTATCTAAGTCTATTATTTAAATGATGCAGCATAAAGCGCACTCACGCCACTCTACAACCGTCCATACAAAGTGCTCGGATGCCACGATAAATTTTACTCCACCCAGCTATCGGAAATAACAGCAGTCATCTTCATCGACCGTCTCAAGCCAGTCTTTCTACTTCACGATGAGTATAGTGATGAAATCTACAGCAAGCAGCCGGCATTGCCACTGCCCGTGGTAAAGAATGGACCATCAACGAGTCAAGAGGCAGCCGCCCAAGGATACCTCGAAGAATCAGCGTTTACCTAAACAGCCAGATGGGCATGATGTAGTCTACCCGTGTAATGCGCGTGGTCATTGGTCGCAGCACGCCTCCGCCCAGCTCCGCCACTCCCGTCTCTAGCATCAACATCATGCTGCTGTTACTTTTATCGGACACCCACAGCATGACCGGTAGCAAAACCTCACTGAAAAATGCAATATTCTAGAATATTTTCAAGGTATTTACGGAACGCGTAGATTTCAATTTTACAATAAGGATTTGCCAGCGTGGATTTGAAGAAGGTACTTTATGAATTAGTTATATTCTTCCAAAACATAAATGTTTTCTTTATTACTACTAATATTATCACACCGCTAGCTTTTTTTACTTTACCACCAGATTTCGATAAAGATATTTTACCGGTTCTCTATTACCTCACCTTGCGTTGATACTTTCAATGAGCAGTGAAGAAGCAGCGTATCCACATCGGAGGCCGGGATCTGGCACGGTCGAATCCAGAAGGTATTCCGTGAATGTGCCATTATAGATTTCTTTTGAATAATGTGCCACCTGAAAATCATATTCTAGTAGGACTAGGAAACATTCTCGCTGTGCATAATCAAATATATAATCAATTGAAAAGATCGATTTCGCAGGTGGTTAGCGAGTCCGGCCTGCGTACAAGTTGAGCAACTTTCGCAATGGTCGGGCATTGGATGGGTGACCAAAAACTCTGCTTCATGCTTCCGAAGGCACGTTAATCCGTTGGTCTCAGCTGCATCTGCAGTCGTTAGCAAAACGCACTGGGCCCGCGTGGTGGCTCACGGCACGGCCCTATCTCCCTATTCCCATCCGTGCAGGCTTGTGCCCAAGCAGTGGGGACATAAAAAGGCTAGGTGCGATGATACAAATAAAAAAATCCATTAACATGAAAAGCGATGGATTTATAAAGATTTTTTTATCAGTTGTTTTTTTTTTGATAGGTCCGATAAATGACTCCACTTCACCTGATGTTAAATGACTGTGGAATCCAGACGCGAAGATAGCTGGTACAGCAGTTCTACCTGCTACACCAGCCATCCTCACCCTGCCGGCTTGCATGTTGCTTCTTTACAGCTCTTCTAAAGGATCCCAGGTTGTAAGAGGGAGGGAACACGTGAGCGAGCAGAGCACTCCATTTACGAATAGTGCAACAAAGAAATGAGTAACCAAACTGCTTTTTACGCGTTGGAATAGTGTATTCTCATTGATAAAAAAACACCACTTTTCGCCTTACCCAAATACTTATATTAAATTGAGAATTGGAGAAACAATTGATAGATAGGTCATATTTCAAAATACTTATAAAGAAAGGTGGAGAAATAATTAACCATGTGGTAATTTCAGCATAGTTTAATAAATAAACTTTATTGATAAATGTTTAAAAGAGTGGCAGCAACGAGGAATTTGCTGAGCAGGCATTTAACTTCAACATTTTTTTACACAATGTACTAATATCATTGCGTCATGGTTTTAACAATAGATAGTATGGAAGAATTTGTATTTATTGACAATTTGTATTTTTTTATGTTAATAAAGGCAAACGAACTGTTAGTCCACCTGATGTTAAGTGGTCAATGCCGTCTATGGACACTTGCAGCAACAAGGATACCAATCATCATCATCATCATCAATCATCATCATCAGCTTATTAATGTCCCCACTGCTGGGGCAGGACGTGGGTTCCCTATGGATGGAATAGGGAGACTGGGCCATGACCCACCACGCGGGCACAGTGTGGATTGGCGGGTGCTAACGACTGCAGATGCAACCGAGACCAACGGCTTAGCGTGCCTTCCGAAGCACGGAGGAACTCGAGATTTTTGGTCACCCATCCAATGACCGACCACTGCAAAAGTTGCTTAACTTCAACAGCCGCAGCCGAACGCGCTAACCACCCGTGATCGAGCTCCACACCACTCATACGTTGCCGGATCTAAAGAAAAGGTTTGCCCTCCTTTTGAAGACCGTCATTATCATACCTAAGAGGGGACACCGTCGAGGGAAGTTCGTTCTGTAAAATAAAATCTCAGTTCCGATTTTTTTTTTATAGATAGGTCCGACAAATGACTCCACCCCACCTGATGTTAAGTGAAGGTGAAGTCCAGACGCGAAGATAGCTGATACAGCAGTTCTACCTGCCACACCAGCCATCCTCACCCTGCCGGCCTGCATGTTGCTTCTTCACGCCTCTTTTAAAGGATCCCAGGTTGTAAGAGGGAGGGAACACGTGAGCGGGCAGAGCATTCCATTTACGGATAGTGCGACAAAGAAATGAGTCACCAAATTTCTTTGTACGCGTTGGAATTGTGGTCACAGTAAAACGGTGACAACGTAGGCCAGCGCGCGTGGTCCTCTGAAGGAAAGGGGAAAGTGGGATAAGAGAGAATAACTCCTCAGAACACTCGCCGTGGTACAAACGATAGAACGCGCTTAGTGACGCCACGTCACGCCGATTTCCGTAGCTGCAATTTTAGACATTAGTTTGATATGCATTATACAATAGATATATGTAGAAGCAGCCAGTAATAGATATTTGACTTTTGTCAGAAATCCGAATGAAAAAGATCGTAAGTGAGATTATATTTTTTCGATTTTATTTATTTACTTTTTATTTTTTCGAAGACCTCTGTAGCCGAGTGGTTTGTATGCCGGGTTTCAAGGTGTCGCCTATTTGAGAGGTCCCGGGTTCGAATCCAGGTGGGGGCAGATGTTTTTGTAATGAATAGGAGCATTTGTACTCAATTCATGTTTAATATATAAATACACTTATATATGTAAGTATATGTATTCTCTCCGTTACCCTTTACCCGTTATATTGCTTACTTTGGGGCGAGGCTAATTGGTGTGAGTGTTGGAAATATAAATTTATATAAAAATTTACAGAATACCTATGCAGATCTTGCTGGTACGCAAGAAAAAGGAAATTAGAGATGAAGAAAATCGTGTTTAGGTATTAAGTATATATTTTTTTGAAGATTACCGGAGCGGAGATCCTGAAAGGATATTTCCTCAAATCCCTTCGCCTGAGTATTCTGTCCCAATCATGGAGTGCGGCCAATCCATTACTTGGAGTCCAGAGAGCCCAAGCATGTAATGAAACACCATCCCTTGGATGGATGTATACGTCTTGAAAGTATACACTTGTTGCAATTGATATTGATGAATTTCTTACTAAAACAAATGAAATTTTAATAAATATATGAAAACAGTATCATGGAATTATAGGAGTGTTTTCATGTTTTCATATGTTTCCCTAGAACCTCATAAAACAAGGCTTACAGTGCTTACTTTGGGGCGAGGCTAATAATAATAATAATTTTTATTGTAATACACCATAGAAAACACACAAGTAAATTAAAACATGATAGATAGAACGTACATAATATAGGCGGCCTTATTGCTAGGCAGCAATCTCTTCCAAGCAACCCATAATAGAAAGATAAATAAATATGAAGGAGATAAGGAGGGGTGTTATAGAAAAACATAATGATATCAATGGCAGGAAAAACAGATATATCTAAGGAAGGAAAGAGAGAATGAAGTAAAAAATTAACATAATTGTTGGGATAGGAAATAACTCCAAACTTGATCCCTAAAAGAGTTCAGAGTGCGAGCCTTACGAAATGTTTCTGGCAATGAGTTCCATAGACGTACTGAATGCACAGAGAAGGAATAGGAAAAGAAATCAGTAAAATGAATTGGAATTTCAAGAGATGGTGTTACAAATATTTATTATTTATTCATCAAGCAAAAGCAGGTTGAAATGCTAAAATTACCTCGCTCTTCGTAATTACATATAGTTTTTTCCCGAAGTAGAACTATATCGGAGTCATAACGAACACTGCCTATTTCATATAGAGCCTCTTCACCGATAATGAGCCACTTGTAACGGATAGAGAAGTGCATTGAGTGAAACTGCAATCATAAAATGGATAGCATATAGCTAAATTTACTTGCCATTACAGAAGAAATATGTATATGAAATTTCGCCAGCAAGATTTTTCATGCTGATAGTAAAAATCTAGGGGAAAACCGGGAGACTAGTCCAGGTGGTGGGAGAGTTGTAACATATTTTAAAATTATATTTAAATTTAGCGTAAACAAAACGTCACTTCGTTCATTGGTCACATGCGAGACTGTTTCGTTGTGATTGACGTTTCGCAGTGCTTTATTTGAGGTAAATTTAAATAAAATTTTGAAAGATGGTTTAACTCTTCCGTTTGGGCAAGCCTCTCAGTTTTCCCCCATCTACCTAAGTTTCCTATGTGGTTGTAGTTTTTAATACCGTTCAGAAATCAAATGGAAAGGTAGCGTGTTAAAACTAGAAGCTAAAAGTAAGACAATTACGAACTTATTTTTTACTGTTTGAGCTAAAAGTAAGACAAACGAACTTAATTTTTACAGTGACACTTTTCATTCGTATTTTCTGTCGATAGATCATTCATCATGATCATGAGCCTTTGAATGTTTCCACTGTAGAAGCACAGGCCTTTCCTACGGAGCAAATAGAGAGACTTTGCCGTAACCCACCAAGCGGCCCAGTGGGATTGGTGGGTGCTAACGACTGCAGTTGCAACCGGGACCAACAGCTTAACAAGCCTTCCGAAGCACCAAGGAGCACGAGATAACAAGTTTTTGGTTACCTATATAATGACCGACCATTGCAAAAGTTGCTTAGCTTTCACGATCGCAGGCCGAATTTGCTAACCATGGGTTGAACTTTGGATGGACGATGGATGAACATTATACTGGTCATTAAAAAAAAACTGCTTATTTGTTCCAAGTTTTTCTTCCAGCTAGGAAGAATGAGACAGACAAAAACTAAGAAAACACCTTATTTATACCTTATGTAGTGCCACACAATTGTTTTGTCGATTAACATACAGAACTCCTTGCAGCCGATAATCGTCTGGCAGTCCGAGTGAATTAGGATCATTTGAATACGTGACCCTCATACCGAATTGAGAAAATTGTTTCATGACGCGCATTTTTTCTGTAAAATGAAATTTATTAAATAAATTATAAATAAATAATAATAATTTTGTATGGGAAATCAATATAACCGAGCAGACGAACTCGCGAGCACCCGCTAGTTATTCAATAAAACATACCGAATGTTGGCCAATTGGCAAAAATTATGATACTGCTAACAACTTTATACTTGAATAATGCTGCAATAGCCGGTATCAGCATTTTTAAAGTTCGACGGCAGTTTATTAAAATACAAGAGGTCTTGTGCCCAATGGACCTTGAAGAGAAATATGTACTTCAAGGAAATTGCAAAGTAATTTAAAACGCTGTGCACTTTTTAACTCTTTTGATTATTAAAATGGTTTTAGACCAGTAACAGCGCACATCAATGTAAGCAAATGTTCTGCAATATTTTGCTTTAATATAAGTATGCCTTAGCATTACAGTTTAAAGTTTACCTTGTTTTAGGTAAGTACCGTTAGCATAAACTATAAAACTAAAACAAGGAGGAAGTTAGTCAGTTAAGTTGAAAAAATACGCAGTATTGATAAAAATAATTAATTTATTAATAAAATAAAAACAATCCTCTTTCAGTTGCATCTGAAATCTTAATTTATCATAATTTACCTTCCACACCGGCTGCTGTGCCTTCCATTCTAATACGAAGAAAGAGTGAATCAATTCTTTGTCGCTCTATTCGTAAATTGATCATACTTTGTCCACGTATCTCTTCTTAATTTTGCTTCTCCGACACCTGCGCGACAAAGCTTTGGTACTAAAATGCGCTAAAATTAACGTTCGAAAATTAAATGAGTGTCTCCGCACACGGGGCACACTCCACAGCCACAAACGCCGCCACGAGAAGCTAGAAGCGGCTACTAAAGTGGCTGAAGCGCGCGACAGCGGCCGACTAAGGTAAGGGAGAGAGGGGTGGGGAATCGCGCGAGTGACGTGTGGCGGCGTTTTGTATCGGCGCATTAAGTGGTCGTAGTGGGCCACAAGAAGCGTGTGGCGGGCACCGGCGTACCGTGTGTGGCGAGTCCATATAAAATGTATGAAAACTACAAGAAATATGCCGGTGGCGGCGT